CCCCCCGGAGGAGCTGGAGGAAGTGTCTGGAGAGAGGGAAGTCTGGGCATCTTTGCTTAGACTGCTGCCCCCGTGACCTGGTTCCGGATAAGTGGAGGAAAATGGATGGATGGACATGATTTCTTCAGACACTTCTGATCTTTAGATATTTAACTTTTTCCCCTCATAGTGGTCCTGGTTCGGGACCAGACTGGGTCTGAAATGTGACCTGAAGGTGGCCCAGCATGGCACGTGTGTTTACAAAGATACCAGGTGGCTAAAATGGTTAGTACTGCATTGTTTAACTTCATTTATACTCCATCAGAAGTCGATCTGCAGCTCAGAACTTCTAGAACAGGCCCAACAGCACCAGTGTCACTGACTCTCTGTTCCACTCAGGCCAAAGTCAGAACAACAGCTTTGCGGGAGACTGCCGGGTCTCACTGTGGCCTGGTGATGGAGGCGGGGAGACTGACGGTGTTTCTAAGTTTGCCCAGACGTCACCCACAGAGCAGTCTGGTCACCTTGGCCTCTCTGCTGTGCAGCTGGTTCTGACTAAACCTGGCTTTGTTTTCAGGTGGAAACCTAAAAACTGACCAAGGGGTTATTAAGTAAAGGCCAGAGATTTTTTATATTTTAATTATTGTCCAAAAATCCTGTGAAAAGACATATTGTAGTTTGTGTGATGAAGCTGTGACTCCGTCCTCTGCGCCATCCAGCTCCACTGTGTCCCAGAACTAGCGAACCACATCAGTGAGCCTCACTGTTCCTTCACAGAGACTGTAGTTTACCTAGAACCTGCTCCACAGAGTAGCAACAGTCACGACCTCCACAAAGTATGGACGAGGAACTCAGTGCTATGTTAACTGCTGCTTTGGTCTTTTCCTGGAGCTTGTAGACATGAACAAACACCTAGAAAATCTACAGCTTCGTTTCAAACACAAGACTGAGTCCAGTTGATGATCAGCAGAGAAATTAGTGCTGAAAGAGGTGTCACATGACCTGGTGTTAGGGCTGAGACGAAGGCACCAGGAGGTCCAGTACAAGAGTTCACTGGTACAGTACATGGATGGAACACCAGCTCCCACAGTCACGGCCAGTACAAACAGTAAACCAGGGGAGTTTGGTCCAGGTCCTGGGGAGGTGGTTTCTAAAGGTGGTACTGGAAAGAAATAAGATCCAGGGGGAGGAGACACAGGTGTCCTGAACTTCACAGGTGGAGGTGTCAGACAAACTCAGTGATTGGCCAAAGATCCTCCTCCTTGGACTTGTTTGTTTGTTGTTGTTTGTAGTTTCAATCGCTGTGTCTGGAAATAGCCCTGTTTCCCTCCAGCTGATGCTGAGGACATTAAGAGGCTGAGGAAGAGGTTCAAGACTCCAGACTCGACCTAACTGTGGCTCCCTGACTGCGGAGGAGTTCATGCCGCTACCAGAGCTGCAGCAGAACACCCTGGTGCAGCGGGTCATCGACATATTCAACGCCGATGGAAATAGGGAAGTCGACTTCCAAAGTAGATGAATCGTTAAGAGGCTAGTTCCGACTCCACCAGAAGTATTTCACACCTGAACATGACATGTTGGCACTGAATACACAGTTTGGTATGGTGCTGTTGGCCCTAAACAGAGACATTAGGGGATTTAGTGGTGATGTCTTACTTTTCTACCCAGTGAAACCCACATAAAGTGCTTTACACCATTTACACACTGATGGGACCGACAACAGAAGCGCCTCGGGGTTCAGTGGACATTTTAACATGGGGACCGGAGAAGCCAGGAATCAAACTGCCAACCCTCGGGTTGGGAATCAAAGCTGCCGAGCCACCAGCCAACAAACAGTAGCACACGTACTGAGGACATCAGAAACGTCTTGAAAGTGAAACCTGTCCTGCTCTTTATCAGCGTGGACGTCGTCTGGAGGTTTCTGGTGGCTGGACAGGCACCAACCTATCACTGTCCTCTGTGACTGGACTGGGAGTAATTCATGGAGGCAGGTGGGGGTGAGGGGTCACTCAGAGTTCAAGGGAAGTCTCAGGTAACTCAGGAAAGAAATCCACTGTAAACACTTTGAGCCCTGTTGTCGTGGTTGTGGGGCCATGAAACGAAAACACCTAACAGTGAACAGGATGATGCACCGGATCCAGGTAAACTAACGGACTTCTGCTCACATCTGGATGGTTGGTTTCTTACAGTGGGAGAAACTGAATGTTTCCTAGTGTCCTGAGTTGCATGTATCAACTTCTGCCACTAGGGGGCAAGAAAAACTCAGAAATGATGTCTTTAACAAACACCATTTCCCATAAGCCCTAGAGTCACAACAGAACAGAACCAAAACAGACAAGTCCATGAATGAGTCGAGTCTCTGTGTTGGGTTCTGCAGTTCAGCCTCTGGTTTAGTTTTTAAGTAGCAGTCAAAAATAAGAGTTTATTCTTTTGTTTTGTGCTGTGTAGATAAAACTAAAATCCTGCCTTCATCGTGATGGTGAAGTCAAAGGGGTCTAATGTTCACTGACCTTACATCTGGATCCAGTCTGAGTCCTCTGGCTGTTTCATCGTCAAGGTGAAGTCAAAGGGGTTTAATGTTCACTGACCTTACATCTGAATCCAGTCGGAGTCCTCTGGCTGCTTTTAACCCTCTCCATGTCAAACAACCAAACCCATGTTAACCCTGGTTGTTGCTCTTTCTTTGTCCCACTCTCTCTGTGCTAAAGACGCCCCCTCTTCACTCTGGCAGCCGCTGGTTCAGACTTTTAGCTGCCCAGAGCTCCTCCATGGCTGTTTGACATGACTACTGGCTGGAAAAACCCTTCTTCTAACCTTGGCTAGGCGGCAGGCGGGGCTGATTTACAGACCATACTTTGACAACACAGGGTGGAGAAGCTGGAATAACAATAATAATAAGCAGCATTTATATAGCACTTTACAACTCACAGAGCCCAAAGTGCTGCACAGAATACAGATAGCAATACACTAAAACAATACCAAACAGACTAAAGGCTACTAGTCAATACATAGATAATCATAAAATATAAAACATGTACTGTATGTAACAATAGGAGGCTGTAGGCAGCAGAGGGTCATGGAGGGGGCTGTAGCTGAGAGACGCATGTCCCACTGTCACTGGGGTTATCAGGCTGGGGGGTTGGGGGGGTCTGATGGTAAAACACCTTTAGGTCTGTTTGATAAAGTGCTTTACAGAAGATAAAGGTAAAAGTTGTTAAACTAGAACCAAAATGTCAGTCAGGCCCGAAAAGCTAAAAACTAAACCCATCTGAATTTTCCTAGTATTGATTAAAAAAAATAAAAAAAATAAAAACTAAATGAGAAATAAATCTGTTCATCAGTGACACAGAGCTGGAGGATCTTAAAGGAACAGTCTGTCACTTTAGAATGTTAAAGATGTAGATTGATCTCCAGATGGAGTCAGAATGTGGTTATCTTAGCTTAGCATAAAGACTGGAAGCAGGGGGAAACAGTTAGCCTGGGTCTGCCCCAAAAAACACCCATTAATCCCTCCGAAGCTCACTAATACCATGGTTTACCTTTAATAGTTATTGGCTGGCCCTTCTGTAATGACCCAACTATAAAGACAATATTCCTCTGTAAATTATTCAGTCATCTCTTTAGTGTTACTATCAAAATAAAGGTAAACGCTTTACAAATCCTTACAAAAATGAGTCAATTATTTCCCAAAATGTTTGAACTATTCCTTTAAAGACAAAAACATGGCTTGGTTTCCAAAACAACCACCACAGAAACGTGAACAGTACAGTTTAATTTGCAAAAACAACTTTGTACAAGAAGTGTCAGTCAGCTGTCTTTGAGCTGAGTCAGAGATTTTAAAATCTGGATTAAAGGTCATGAAAGTGCAGGGCTGGCAGAACAGGGCAGACTGTGGACAGGTTACCAGCTCCCGTCCAGGTGTGCCTTTCATCAGGCAGGTGAGGAGCTCAGCTGTGCAGATGGTGGTGTTTGTCACGTGGGCGCCCGGAGGTTGTGAGTGGCCAGAAGTCGCTGTTGTCTCCTCTCCTTTGCCTGCTGCTTCTTCAGCTCGATCTCTGCTGCCGAACATTTACCTGCAGAGGAAACAGGAGGACGCAGCTGGAACGGATTCAGGGATTCATCGTGTAAACATAAAGCAACAGTTTTACATTAAAATAACAGCTTCACAGTAAGTTTGAGAGTACACCAACTTGTAATGAGGTGAATGGCGTCTCTGCCATCGCTACTGCTGTTACCAGACTATGTAATGCTGGTCCCAGAGACCCCTCACAGGGACCACCCAAGACTTTACAGCACCATGTCACAGCTGGTCAGACCCTCCACCTAGCTCAGTTTCCTTAAACACATCCTGGGCCTTTATTGAGTTTTGATATTTTTCCAGGTGACAAAGTAACACTTGGATTGTGAATATGTGGCCAGTCCATCCCAGTAAGGCCAGTTTGGAAATCTACTCGGATGTTTTTGGAGCTGGGAGGATCTGCTAACAGACCAAGCTAACGCTCCTTAGCACATAGCTACTTCTCGTTCAGAGCAAAGTCAAGGCCATGGACTGAAGCACACGCCCGCAGCAGCAGGTAGCGTGCATGGCCAGAGCCCAAACAACTGCTAACACAAACAGCAACTTGGCAGCAGCGTGCACGTGTCTGCTCACGTTGTTTAGGACATAACCCTGTCAACGTCAGCCCTGAGATTTGCAGCTTGGAGCCAGCTCACTTCCTGTGTGACCTGTGTGTTCTTACCTTTGTCGCCCACAACCAGGTTGTTTGGCCTCTTGAAGGTGAGCTCTTACCTTTGTCGCCCACTGTAGGAGCCAGGTTGTTTGGCCTCTTGAAGGTGAACTGGTCTCTGCTGGTCGGCTGCGGTGCAGCAGCAGCTGACTGGACCCTGCTGCTCCCCTGCAGACACGTGGATCCTGGCACAGTTCTTCTCTGTGTGAATCTGAGAGAGTCCCTCACTGTGTTCACCTGTACACCTGCAGCCAGACTACCTGGTCTACCTGAGGCACTGGGCAGAGTGGTGGGAGTTTGTTTTTGGGGCGGACGGTGCGTAAAAGTGGCAGCTCGTCCAGAAGCAGGCTGTTGGTTCCCGCTGTCCCAGGTTCTGTTGGACGGCTGCAGAGCTGCTCTCTGCTCTGGCACCGGACCCACAGGAGGAGTCTGCCTTATAGACACGTTGCCCAAACTTTGGATCTGGTTCTCCAGGTCGTCAAAGATCTCACACAGCAGGTTGTCGTCAGCTGGGTCATCCCACACCAGGTCCGACGAGAAGAACGAGTCCAGGTCTTCGTCCTGGAAGTCATAAACTGCCTGATGGGAGGAAACGTCATGTTTCTGACCTGTTTCTGTAGCCGGGGTGTCTGATGCAGAAGCAGCAGGCAGGGAGCTGGTAGCAGACGTCCTCTGATAGAACTGGGATTTCTGAGGATGGGACCTCGCTGGGTTTGACTGACACGTCCGCCAGGTATGCTGAGGTCCCACCTCACCAGTGGAGGAAAACCTGCTTTGCTGAGCATCTTTGTCTGCTGCTTTTGAGCTGTAACCCACCTTCAAGTTTGCCCATGTCTGGCTTCGTTTCACAGAGAAGTCGAGGTTAGACTCCAGTTTGAAAGTCGATCGTTGTCCCACATTCTCCTTCCCCACCTGAGAAACAGTGGGCTGCCTGCCTGCAGCGCCTCCTCTGACAGGAGGTGGATGTTTGATCCCGCTGGCTGGTTTCTGTGCTGAACTGTTCTTCGGAGCAGCAAACATCTGTGGGTTTTGTGTCATGTCCAACAATAACGACTCATTGAGCAGGTCGTCGTTTTCCCAGTCGTCCTCGAACTCGTCACTCACTGAAGTGTTGGTGTTTGTTGTGGAAACACCTGAAGCGGAACCATGTGCTGGCTGTACTTGTGAAGGCTGAGCTGACGACAACTGGCTTAAATTTCTGCTCACGTGTTGGGTCGGTCCATCAAACAGGAAATCCAAATCATCCTCCATCTGTTGAACCACACGTGCCTGCGCATCTGTCCCAGCCGCTGCGTTCATAGCTGGCCGACAGTTTCCAGGAAGCCAAGGTGAGACGTCATTGTGATCGTCCTTCTTGAGATCACGGGTGTCTTCAGACAGGAGCTGCGGGCTCTGCTGGTGCGCGTCCTCCACCTCCGCTTCACATTGATGAAACATGCTGAAGTCAAACTGTTTGGCCAGTTTCAGGAGGTCGTCCACCGCATTCGTTCTGAGGAAAAACAAAACCCAGCGTCACATGGTTTAAAAAGAAAGAAATGAGATGCTGCTGAAAAACTTCTTTATAACTAAGGCTCCAGTTTTAAACGACAATCTGAATGTAAATGTTAAATAGTGCTGAGCCAGCAATACACACGAATTATGTATTTAACAGAACAATTTCTCAATTAATTGATTCTGATTAGTCTCTAATAAAAATGAGCATTACTAGTCATCATCAAAACAAAGAGCACATTTTAAGCTCATTTCCAAAAAACATAATATTTCCTCTTTAGCCAATCATCAGCTGGTTTGGTGATGGAGCTCAACAGTAGGTGGGCGAGCCGATGGCGTGCAAGCTGCTGCCATCAAACACCAGCAGGGCTTCCAAGAAAACACGGGGCAAGTTTGAACCATGAAACACAACATGACAGTAAATTCAGAAATTCTGCCCACAGGTCAAATCCACAGGTATGGGACAGAAGTGAGGTCACTGACCTTTGACTGCCAAAATATAATCAGTTCACTGATTGTGCCAAAATTGAAGAAATTCCCCGAAGGCATTGACAAAAACGGGCCTGACGGACAACCCGAGAACATAACGCCCTCAGCCAGGCTGTTGCCGGCACCAAGGTATAAAAGGTTCTGCTGAGATTATGTTTGGACAGTTAAACAACCGAGACCATTTGAAATTGTATATCCAATATTTTTTAGGATCTGACCACAACTGAGAAATAAACAAGACTCCTCGCAGAGTTTCAGAGCCACAGTCACCACAGCAGAGGCAGCTCCAGGCTGCTGCTGCTTCTTCTGACCCACCTCGGGGATTTCCTCTTGGGTTTGGGTGCCTGGACGTCCGGCGTGCATGGGATGGCGGCGCTGTCTCCGATCCACTGCTGTAACGTCGGCTCTGGGACCTCTGGTCTGCCGTGCTTCACAAACACAGGTGACAACACAAAATTAATTCTAGATCTGAGTAATCGCTGTTTAATACCTCCAGTGTTTCTGATCTGAGCCACCATCTGTGCTGAAACGTTACACGGGCAGCCAGACTGAACCGACATTCTCCGGTGTCTTCAGGTGGATGTCCGGCCTGCTGTTACTGACCTTCGGAGCGATCCTGCTGACGATCTCCGAGATGTTCACACCTCGAGCCGGGTGTTTTTTACCTCTCTTCCCTGAAGAGAAGCACAGAGTCACCTTGCAGCACTGGCCAAAGGGAAATTAAACCCTCTACCAGTAAACCAACGTTTCAACTGGCTCCATTTACAATGTTATAAAACTGTGTAAAGCATTTGAGCAAACACTTGTGTTTAATAAACAACAAAGCATCAATCAACCTCCATCAACCAGCTGGTGAACTGACCAACAGGATGACCTTTACTAACAGTGACGTAACCTCTGGCGTTTACCGAGTCTGTTGGGTGAAGGCGAGGCTGCGTCCCAGATGATGTCCTGCTGGAAGTCGGACTCGTTGTGCGGAGACTCTTCACTGAACCTGGATCTGGGGATTCTGGTCGGAGTCTTAAACTCTAGGACAGGAAACAGCTGATTCAGACGGACCGCTCTGCTATTCTACCCCCAGTAAACCTCTCTGTTGATCTGTTGATCACTAAGTCAGTCACTAAGTCAGCCTGGTTATGATCCACCATCACTTTACACCCGAGGCTTGTTTTGGTGGAAGACGTTTACAGTCCAGCAGTTTAAATTTCAGTCGTAGCAGGTTTGATAAAACCATTTTATGGAGTTTGGCACATCGCCCATGTAGGAGAGGGGGAGTTGCCGGGGCTTGTACACGTCACCCAGGGGGGAGGGGACACCGCTTCAACAACCTAAAATCACACTGAACGAACAGAAATCAGTTACTAACCTGACTTTTGGCTCACTGGAGACTCCGCTGCCTGACTTTGTCTAAAACTTCTGCTCAGTCGATTTGGTCTCGGTCTGGACGTCTGTTGCTCCGGCGAGGAGCCCGTTAGACCCGCGGGGGCGACAACGTTTCTACGGCCTCGGTTCATGGTCAGGTTACCGGGTGAGGCGGTGACAGTGAACCTGTTATACTTTACCATTTACAGTTTATTCTGTTAAAAAAAGCAGAGTTTTTGAACATCCCGCCATCTTGTCTTTCCCAGAAGTCCTTTCGAGGGGTGCGTTCAAGAACAACAAAGTTGCGCGAACTCACGCAGGTTCTGAAAGATGGGATTATTATTTATTCTTTAAACGTATATATTTATTTTTAAAATGAAAGGGATTTAGGAAATAAATCTGCCAAAATTCTGGTTTGTGGGTATGTTTTAATATGAGCACCCCCCCCCCAAGCAGGATAAATAAAAAATTCTGTGAAATGTTTAAAAAGCAAAAATATAAAGCGAAATGCAAATACTCAAGCAAAAGCCCAAGTTTATACTCCTCACAGCTGAGTAAATGTATGTATGAAATACAGTTGTCAACAATATATTTGTATGTCCATTTACACGACATGAAACAATACTCATACATTTCTG